GATAGATAGATAGATAGATAGATAGATAGATAGATAGATAGATAGATTGATATCAGTAGATATATTGATATTGATATATAGAAATCAAACCACAGTCACAATAAAATCAAATTAAATCAAACTCCAAGTCTAAGTGACTCAGTATCCAGTCCTTGGGATCCACTCGTGTTCTGGGCTCCTCTAAAGGGCTTGAGTCATTTCTCCAGTCATTTCTGCCTGCTGCAGTACATACAGTTTGTCTTCTAGGCTCCGGCTGATTCCAATCCACTGTTGCTGCTGTTCTTGGTGGTCATCCTACCCCAAGGTATTAACATCTCCCAATTGCTTGCAATTCCTCCAGCAGCAGCCTCTCCTGGGCTCTCTTTAGGGACTCCAGACCTTCCACACAGTGCCAAGCCTCAGATGATCTCCCCTTCATGCCTATAAATCGGAAGCCACCTGGATGCCTCTTACATTACCAAGTTCAGCTGCCAGCACAAGGTTCAGCCTTGGCTGCATCTGGAACACAGCTTCTATGTGCTGAAGGAAATACTTCCCAGAAGGTTTCACCTCAACAATACTGGTCTCTTCTTGATTACCACTAATTTCTCAGTTTTAGGTGGCCAGTATTGTCCCAGAATAGCAAAGGTTTCATTTTAGTGCTTCTTGTCTCTTGTTAATCACAGCTGATTCTTCTGCCCCAGATGACCAGAACCACACATTCTTTTTTTTTTTTTTTTTTTTTTTTTTTTTGAGACAATGTTTCTCTGTGTGGCCTTGGGTGTCTTGAATTTGCTTTGTAGACCAATCTGGTCTCAAACTCTGCCTCTGCCTCCCCGAGTGCTGCGATTATAGGCATGCACCCCTGTGCCCAGCAGAACCACAGACTCTTAACTCAAAATACACAAAGCCCACCCCCATAGTCATTAAGTGACTCTCAGACTTCTCTCTGGACCTTCGCAAGCCAGGCCTCCCTCTTCTGCATTGCTCTCAGCATTCTTATCTTCCTAACTCCTATGGCACAGCTCCCAAGCTTTGAACATGCAGTAGCTTTTCTAGCTCAAAGTTCCAAAGTCCTTCCCCAAAACATGGCCAGGTCTGTCACAGCTGTACCCCACTATCCTGGTACCAGTCTCTGCCCTAGTTAGGGTTGCTATCAATATGATGAAACACAATGGCCAAAAGCTAGTTAGAGAGGGGAAAGATTTGTTTCACTCATACTTTTATATTACAGATCATTATTGAAAAAACATCAGGACAAGAAATCCAATATGGAAGGAACCTGGAGGCAGTGGCTGATGCAGAGCCCATGCAGGGGTACTGCTTACTGGCTTGCTCAGCCTGCTTTCTTATAGAACTTAGGATTATCAGTGTAAGAGTGGCCCCACTCACAATAGGCTGGGCCCTCCTATGACAATTACTAATTAAGAAAATGTGCTACAGCTTTTTCTACAGCCCAGTCTTATGAAGTCATCTCTCAAATGACTCTAGCTTGTGTCAAGTTGACAAACTTGTCACAAGTTTTATATAGCCAGCACACTTAGAGTCTGATTTCTCCAGTGTAGCTCCTGTAAGTTCCCATAATAATCCATACATATTCATGAGTAGTACGACTCTTTTTCTTTTTTTTTTTTCTTTTCTGGTCAAAGGAACTGAGGGTTCCCCATATATATATATATATATATATATATATATATATATATATATATATATATATAT